GGCCTAGCCCCGCCCCACCCCACCAGGCCCCGCCCTTGTCCCAGCCTCAATCTGGGTGGCAGGCGGAGCAATAGGAGGGGGAGGCGGCCGCCTGTCCGAGCGGAGAGGGCTGTGGGTCGAGGCGCAGTTGACCCCTTTCCGGCCGGGTCCCATGGTCCCTGCTCCCTGCTCGGAATGGCACTCATTTGTCCTGAGGGTCAGTGGCTAGGCCCCCATGGGGTCCCCGCCAGGGGGGAGATGGGGGAGCCGGACCGTAATTCGCTTCCGACCCCTCCGCGCGTTTGGAGGGGTGAGCGGCGCCCCCGCCCGCGCTCCTGCCGGCGCCCGAGCCCCCTGCGGGCTCACGCTCTGCTCCCCGCGGCGTTTCCAGCAACCGGCCGTCTTCAGGCGCCTTCTCCGCCGCGACCCCGAGCCCCTTAGCCTCCCTCCGGCCCTCGCTCCGCTCCAGGGAGCGAAGTGAGAACCCTGTTCTGTGCCCGAGCCTTCCCCGCTCACGCCTCCCCTAGGTGGGAGGGACGCCCTAAACAGCTCCCCAGAGCAGAGAGACCCCTTTCCTCCTTAGGGCCTGTGTCCTCGAGTGGGAACATGAGCGGCCCCAGCCCCTCGCCCTCCCACAGAAGCCAGGTGTCCCTGTCCCCGAGCCTGTACAGCGCCTTATCTTGGGCCCCACCACTGCCGCGGGCGCTGGGCTGGCCTGGGGAGGAGCGGAGTTTTAGCATTTGAAGTCAGGACCTTGGAGGTCGTGGGAAGCCAGATGGAAGAAGCTGGGGTCTTCGCCAGGGTCCCCAGAGCAGGCCCAGGGCCAGCTCACAGACCCCCAGCCAGTCAGTGCTGCTTGTATAAGGCGCCCCTCTGCAGAGAATGCCTGCTGGACGCCCGCGTGGGGTCTTCCAGGCAATGGCATTCTTTTCGAGGGGAGAGGAGGGATTCAGGTCAGATGAAGCTGGCAGCCTATTCCCTCAGCACCTCTGCCGGAGCAGGGCGGGGCGGCGCCTGCCACGCGAATGATGCTGTCCCACTCCTAAAACCCTCTCACGCCAACCGCAATGGCAGGCAAGCTTTCTGTAGGGGAACGAACCGCGCGTCCTCACCCCGAACCCGGCTGCTGGGTCGGATCAAAACGTGCTCATCTCCTCCTCCTGGTTCTTAGCTGGGATTGTCTAGTGACAGGGTAGAGGGAACTAGCGCTGGGCAATGAGACAGCACCCGATGAGCAAAACCCGCGGATTCCCTCGTCCCTGTGCTCAGGGCTGTGCCTTGGGCAAAATGGATGGACCTCCTTTGCTGGGATTGTCTAGTGACAGGGTAGAGGGAACTAGCGCTCGGCAATGAGACAGCGCCCGATGAGCAAAACCCGCGGATTCCCTCATCCCTGTGCTCAGGGCTGTCTGTGCCTTGGGCAAAATGGATGGACCTCCTTCGCTCGTCACTGCTCTGTCTGTCATGGGCAGGGCGATGGCCTGCAGTGGGCAGCCAAAGGCCCCGCAGCCCACGGTGGGTGTCTGCCTGAAACACGTCCCTGTGGCAGCATCTTCCAGCACAGCTGTGTGTGGGGGTTTGGGGGGAGAATTGTGTCCGGTCCCCTGCTCAGAGTGACACTCGCATGCACACTCTCTGGCCTCTTGGTTTCAAATAGGCTATTCCACAGGCTCCACGTCAGCTGGCTCTCGCTCAGCCACTTCACGTGAGCAGCGTAATACTAAAGGGTAAGGCAGGGGCTTAAAACACCTTTTCCACACTCGAGAACTGAGTTCCTTCTCGGAGGAGAAAAGAAAGTGCACATGTGGAAGAGACGCGTCCAACGCTCCGACGCGCAGCAGGTCAGGCTTCCGCCCGTGTTTGGGCACAGCTGGACGTGTCACCGGCCGTCTCCCCGGAATCCTTCCAGAAGGAGGACGTCGGGCTCAGAGCAGACGGTGTCAGAACCCTGTTCTCCTCGATCAGACAACGGGAGGACGGCCGGTCCCGTTCCGGCCCTGCTCGTTCATTTATCAACTTCCACCTGGAAAATTTGATTAATTTTCTTGGGTCTCGGTTTCACCATTTGTGAAATTTTTATTTTGCCATCCTCACAGAGTTATTATGAAGAACAAAAAATAATCAAACGTAACGGGACTTTTTCTTTTTTTTTAATTTGTGGGGTTTTGATGGAGCGGAAAGCTCGGTGGAGAAGGGGTGACTGAAACCGCCGAGAACCCGGGACCGCCCGCTGCCCAGTGTGGTCTTACGCCCATTCTACAGGTGGGGAAGTAGGGCTTTGGAGAGTTTGATTGGTTTGCCCCCAAATCACACATCTCGCCAGTGGCAGAGTCAGGATTTGAACCCAGACCCGTGTGGCCCAAGATTCCTCTTCTTCGGCACGATTCCTGCAACAGCCGAGTGGCTCTTGGCACAAATGCCTTTGCGACAGAAGACCGAAGTCTGTCCTACAACCTCCTGGGGGAAAACCTGCCATTTGTACTCAGGGACCTGCCAGCAGGATCAAGTTTCATGTTTCTGCTGAAAAATCCAGCCTCATTGCTCCATCGGCTGAGTTTTTCATCACCCAAGGAGTTCGACCACCCAAATATTCAGAGTGCTGGACCAGGCACTGAGTCACGGGGGACTTTGGACGCACAGAAAGGGCCACCAATGCAATCCAGTGACAACCGGCCGAGAAAAACAGCTGAGCGCCAGGGCCCTCAGAAGCAATCGAAGAGATTATAAAGCTACGCTTTGGTGCCTGGGGAGGAGGCAGACAGAAAGAAAAGAGAAAAGATGGAAGAATCTCCAGGAGGTTCTGGAAATCGTTCCCAGGGGGTAAATATTAACCGCAAAACAATTAGAGATAACTTTTTGGAAGCCAAGATGAAAATGACAGAAATGCGACCAGAAAACAAATCATGGCCAACAGCGGGGAGCCGTGGAAAGGTCTCTGGAGCTGCCGTCCACAGCCCCGTCTGAGGATGGGCCCCAGCGAGGGGCGGCGTGGCTGCCCTTCCGGCCTGTCTTTTTCCTTCTGGGGCAGCTCCCCGGGGGACAGGTCCCTCTGAGCTCTGAGGAGATCGTCACCTGGTGAGAGGAGCAGGTGCCCGAGAATTCCGGGGTGGGGGGCTAGGCGTCCGGCAGTTGGGGATGGAGAAGGGGCGGAACTTGGCCACGGCGATGTGGGATGCTGCCCGAGGCGTGAGGAAGAGCTGTAGCGTTTGCCCGGGGGGCATTAAAACGCCATAAATCATTGACGAGAAACCAAACAGCGCTGGATCCATACGGCAATTCAAGCCCATATTGCTCCAAGTCAAATCAAATTAGAAGTCTTTCCCCAATTAGATTATGCAAACGCTCACCAGAGCACAGATAGCGATGTCCCGGGCCCCCAGCCGGCAGCCCCCACCTTACACCTCGCACAGCTCAGATACGCTGGAGCACGGCGTCCCAACACCCGGCCTGTGTCAACACTCTGCCTCCAGATAATAGATACGAGACGCTGCACACACCGCTTTTAATTGCATCGATAAACTGGGATTAACCCCCAAGTCAGCCTTCACTATTGCAATTAAATGTCCTCAAATAAATTGTTTCCTCAATAAACAAATGGAAGGGCTCATGTTTGCCCTGAATAATAACAGGTGTAATATTTTACTGGCTACAGTTAACTATTAAGTGGGACCACTTCTGGCCCTGATTTATTCCCCGAGATGGGAAAGTCATTTTTCACCCGTCATGCGCTGCTTCGGAACTGTATAAACAGCTAATAATGCACTAAATCAGCCTTGCGTGACCTTGCGTTTCACCCGGGTCCACCGGGCTTCCACAGCCCGGTGTCGTGGGAGTGTTCCCGAAAGGGCCAGGACAACGGCGGGCGACCCGCAGAGACTGCGGGGTCCTTAGCTTCTAGGGTTCCGACGTCCAGAAGCACACGAAAACCTGCTGGGCCGTTCCAAAGCCCTTCCTGGCCCCGCGTGCTCTGTGCGTTTTCCAGTTGCCGTAGAAGGAGCCAGAAGGCTCATCCCAGGGGAGGCGAATCGCGGGGCGCATGGCATCTGTGCGAGGCGCCACCTGCCATCGCCCGGGCCCCTTCACAGGTAAAACGACACGGGAAACCCCGAAGGCCGCTGTCCCTCCCCGCTCACGAATGCCCACGTCCTTTGTGGCGGGCCAGGGGCTTCAGGTCAGCTTTTAAGGGGATCTCAGTCTCTCTGCGCTTCAGGGAGGGGGACAGCTAGCAATGCGTCCTGGAGGTTGGCAGTGGGGTCATGTCTGTCCTTGGATGACTAGGCTTCGTTCTTCCTCTAGAATAAACTAGAATAGTGATACTCTCGTTCGATAACCGCTCGTAGGGTGTAGGCCGGAGACTTCTAAACAGCACGTGGTGATGTCCGATTTCATCGGGTCCTTTCGAACATGTATGTCCGTTTCCTCTGGTTCCGAACCAAATACTGAGCAACGAGAATTTGTAATCGAAGTGTTTTGGTGTTTATTAGATGTCTACCATAACGGGTTCGTCGTATATAATTTTTCTATAATTTACTCTGTTGTTTCTTAGAACTTTGCAACACGAGAGCTCCCTTTGATTTTCCCTGTAAACCTTATATTTGCCTACTCAACCGCGTTTAAAGTGACGCCTCATGTTCTCTTCCAATCGGTCAAATGCGTAGTCAGCGTCTGGTCCGTGGGAGAGGAAGCGCACGCAGCCCCGAGCTGAGCCAAGGCCGGTCCCCAGCAGACATTCCGAAGCCTTCGGGGCAGGCAGCCTCACGGAGAGGGAGCGCGAGACTTCTGCTCAGCGTTTACTGTACCGACACCCTCCGACACCCTCCGAAGACGCGGCCCCCCCTCCCCCACGACTGCCTTCCCAGGCACTGGGAGACCTGCGGATTCTAGGCTGGGATTGATCGATTTAGTTAAAGAGCAATTTAGGACACATTTTATTAATATTCTCATCAGCAGCATTCCTGTCGCCCTAACCTTTTCTGTCTTCACGACATCGTTCTAAATGATGAGCGAGCCACACTTATTTTTAGTTAGTGAATCTTTCACGCTTATATCAGCACCAGGGGAAAATGGCTTGCTCGGGCTCCTCCCCAGGCAAAAAGATGCATAGGAATTATTGCATGTCTTAAATATACCAAAGTAAGCTTCCTCTGAACTGAAGGCCTGTAACTTAAGAGCTAAAGAGATTCCCAAGCGATCATAAAGGGTATCAGAAGAAGATAAAATATTTAGCATGCGGGACCCCGTCCAGAGCATGACTGTATCTATGGATAATTGTAAGCTCCTCGGAATGCTTGATGGGAAATATATTGATAATGCCATTTTTCTTTTGAAAGGGATTGTAATGATTGCAGATTTGATTAAATAATTAAATTAATAAGAACTATTTGATTCAAACATGAGCCTTTTAATGATATACAGAGCTAATAATATCTGTCTTGTCGGCTAAAAAGGTTTTAAAAGACCGAATCGGGCCATTTGCAATTAGACGACCTACCTGCCCTTTATTAATGCGTTAACCTTTCTATTAAAACGCGCTTAAACGTAGTCTCGGCAAACGTTAAAGGAAAAACAAATACAAAATATTTCACAGCAATACCCTTACTTTGCCGCTGTGAATAAAGAACAATGTAATTGTCCCTAAAACAGGGCTCCTTGACTTTGCGAAATTGCGGTAAAACCGAGGTATGAACGCCGAGTCCGTGCTGAAGCGTCTAGAGCAGGTCTCACGAGCCAGTGGCGTGTAAGAGGCGGCTCGGAAGTGCGTGTGTTCTTCACACGGGATGCGTGCACGCGGTCGCCGGTGCCCGGGGCCGTGCGAAGGGCCGGGCTTCGGGGCGGCGCCCGCACCCCGTGTGGTTCCGTGACCCTGTGGCTGGTCCTTCTCAGCCTCGGCTTATGTCACCTGCAGGATGAGGATGGTGACATCTGTCCATTCTGACAAGCACGTTGGGAACGTTAACGAAAGCTCAGGCAAGAGCACCTGGCACGTGGTCAGGGCGTAGCACGCGCCAGGCCACCGGGGTGCGTGAGGCCTGATATCGGTAATCGCCACCGACGGCGGTGGCGGGAACGCGTGTGGGTGTGCGTGCCTGCTGTGCTGAATGTTCGTGTCCCCTGGAACTGTGGTGAAGCCCTAGCGCCAGCCTGATGGCGCGTGGAGGTGGGCCTAGGCGGTGATCCAGCCTCACGGCCGAGAAGCCACTGGACGGTCAGCCTGACAGCCTGACCTCAGCGACGCAGGTGCCCTGGGGGGCCTGGGGGACTCCGGCTCGGGGGGCTGAGCCTCACCTTCCACGCTCTGGCCGCTCCGGTGTGCCCGGGGGGTTAATCCAGAGTCACCCCCTCATCAGTTGCTTTGGGGTCTTTCCAAGCGAATGAATAGCTCGTGCCGCCAGCGAGCCAGCTCCTGGGGCTGCGTGTCTTCAGGAAGCTGACCTGCCGGTCATGACTTTGCCCCCTGTCCAAGGTCAGAGAGTCACGGACAACACGGTCGTCAGGTGAGAGGCTTGGAGAGGAAAGCTGTCCAGGCCACAGAGCTGGAGAGAGGCAGAGCCAGCGCCAGGGCCAGAGCGGGCTGGTGACATTGGGGTCCCCAGGGGGATGTGGGGAGCAAGCCAGACCAGGGCGTCTGAGCCTGGACCCTGGTGGCGGCAGCCCCTGGCGACAGCTCATCACCAGGTCCCAGCCTGAAGGGCGTGAGAACACCTCTCATTCAGCACCCTCAGCCCCACGGAGGGGTGTGGGGTGTCCTTGGAACTTGCCTGAAGTGACAGAGTTTGCAAGTGGCACAGCTGGGGTCCCTGCCCAGGGCGTCTCCCACGGCACTCCGGTGAGTGTCTTTGGGTCTGATGCCAGCGGGGACTCGGGGTGAGTCCCAGAGAGGTGTCACAGGTGTCTCTGTGGGTTCTGCCTCTGGGGCAGCGTGACCAGTTTCAGATTCCACTGGCAGGGGACGGCTCAAACGTCCTCTGGGCTCAAGGCCTGGCCAGGGCCGAATCTTCCTTCCAAGAGGCTCACAAGGTGTCAGAGCAGAGCGGAGACACCTGAGGGGCCCCGCCTCTCCCTGCCCCTCCGCCGGAGCTCCCTCCCCTGCCTCCGCCTCTGCTGCCCAAGGCGATTCCCGGTGGGGACGGCCAGCTCCCCGTGCAGTCCCGGCGCGGAGTGCCACGCCAGCATGCTGAGGGCCTGGCAGCGGGAAGCGTGCAGGGCTGTGGCTGAAGAGCCAGGGGTGCGGGGGCTGACGGAGCTGCGGGGGAGGCTGCATGATGGGGGCACAGCCAGGCCGGGACAGCTGTGTGGAGGGTCAGCTCCCCCACCCCGTTTCCTGTGGCCCGCCGCGGGGCAGGAGCTGGGCGGCGGTGGAGCGACCGGAGCGGCCGGAGCGCGTTTCAGGACATCCAGGCTCCGCGTTCGTTCGGCCCTGGGCTCAGACTGCGGCGGGAGAAGCCCCCGCGATGACGGCGCTGCACGTTTCCAGGCAGAGGACGAGCGAGGATGAGCGCTCCAGTGCTCTGTGGCCCCGGGGACCTCGCAGGTGCCGTAACTCTGTGCGCCGCACGGGCGACGCAGGGCCCTGCCGTCTTTAGAGGACTTTCTAAACACTAAATGCAATTTATTAAAAAAAGTTTTGTAAAATATTAATTTCCCGAGAGGTTTCTCTATATTACTCTAATTGCTTTTCCTTGACTGACTAATTTTTTAAATAGCAGTTTTATGAAAAAAAAAAGATCTAAATGTCTCTGGATGAGAAGGGTCTCGGTGGGAATACGGCTCTCAGAGAGGTTTGTAATCTTTACATCTGGGTTTATATATCACCCTCCTATTGACACCGCTTCTTGATTAATATTGTGTATAACATTCCTTAATGCATCAGCAGAATTAATTATGCAGAAACATTCAGGCACACAGACATTATATTGATGAAATGACGTTTTATTGACAAAATGACAGTTTAATACTGAGCTTTCCTGAAGCTGTATATCTCATCGATTGCCTCGCCTCCTGGGCGGACCTGCGGGAGTAAGGAAGAGGCGCATCCGTCGGTCAGGCGGCCACCGGGCGCTCTCCGGAGGGTGCCGGGCGCCTGAGGCCCCGCAGCCCCTCCCTGCACCGCATGCGAGTCTGGCTGACCTGCGGGGGAAGCCTGGCCTGTCCTTCCCCGGTGTAAACTTGATCTGGATTCCGCGTGTCGTGTTTCTTTTTCAAAAGCCTGTGATCCGCACCCTCTCTGGCTTCGGCTTGCTCTCTCCTGTTGTACGGGGTGGACTGTGTC